TTTATGATGTATTTAAATGGGCTTTTATGGTTACAAAGGAATTTTATTTTTAGATATTACTTTAAATGTTGCTGATTAAGGATTTTTGTTTATTTTTAGCCATGACTATGATGTCACTTTCTATTTTAATACCTTTATGATGTATTTAAATGGGCTCCCATGTATTTAGATTTTTGATTATTTATACATGTTACCAAATTGGTCCACATTGAACAAAAACGGTCCAAATTTCAACTTTATTACATTACATCAAACATTGAATTCTACATATTCTTTGATATATTGAAATAAACAAACAATTTAGTTTATGGATATTCCACCATAATAGGTAAATTAAATTTTTTCCAGTTCTTACACCACATTCATCCTGTGTCAGAAACCTATGCTGTGTCAAATATTTAATGACAATCCAAAGTCATAGCTGTATCAAGCTTGAATTTTGTGTCCATACTTGCCCCAACTGTTCAGGGTTCGACCTCTGCGGTCGTATCAAGCTGCGCCCCAGCGAAGCATTTTATTGTAAACTTGGAGAAGAAACCATTGAACACCTGTTTTTTTAATGCCCAATAACTTTTCAGTTGAGGCAGTCCTTTTCAAATATTGTGAAACTTTTTTTTGTAAACTTTGTTCTCAACAAAGAGAATGTGCTTCTTGGTTGCAAACATGAAAGTTTATTATTAAATCTGCTAGTCATAATTACAAAGAATTATATATATAAATGTAAATTAAATGAAACAAAACCAAATATGGTTGAGTTAAAGAATAAAATAAAGAAATACCAATTTCTTGAATATCATATTGCAAAGAAAAATGATAAAGTCCAAGTTTGTGAAAAGTTTTGGTTTCCTTTACATGTAATATTTAACTAAATGTTGTTTCATATTATCTATGTTTTAGTTAAGAGAAAAGAAATAAGTTATATACTATGAGCCAAATTTATGTTTGTCTTTAAAATAATTGTATTAAAAAGTAAGTCATCATACATATTGTAGCAAAACAGATGAGTGAAAAGTATTAATGTTGTATGTGAGAAAGTCAAAGAGAGAGAGAGAGAGATTAATCAAATACAATTTATATGTAACCTACAATAGTCTTATTGTTAAAAATCAATTTGTCAGAGAGACATGATGTATATTGCATTATTTTTCTGTATTTACCCCATTGATACCCTTGTCAGGTGGTAGTGTATGGGGGTATGTAAAATTCTGACTATTGAAAAACAAATAAAAGATTAAAAAAAAAATTTTGGAAAAGCAGTCAGTGTTTCGGAACCGTAACCTCTCACTACTCATGTCATTATACTGGACCTACAGGTTACAATCAACCATTAGATTTTATGGGCGTAGCCATTTTATGAGCATAACATGGTATTCAGAATTAAGAGTATAGCTAATCCTGATTGGTTGATATGTGCGCCCGTTATATTTTGTTATTAGAGACTTCGTGCATTCTGCATTATACCAAAGGCCTAATAAATTATTTTCCTTAGCCCTAACGGAACTGAGATGTCTTTTAAACGCTAGGATGAGACACATATTTTTAAGTGCAAAATTGATAGGCATGGGAGATAAGTAAAAATTACGCTAAGAAAAGCAATGCGAACCTATATATTTTGGACCAAAAAATACTGTTCTAATAACTTTTCTTTAATTCTAGAAAGGTTTCGTTAAAAAAATCAACTTTCTAAAGTCTGTATCTCGAAAAAGGCTATCATTGTCGCCTATGGGGAAATTAATTGTTTATTTCAATCTATACAGCGTCGACATTTCTTTATCATAGTGCTCAAAAAGTGTCAAAAACAGTAATTTTACTTGATATTTGATGTGAAACCGTATTTTTTGGTGACAAATGACTTATTGTTTAACTAGTTTTTGTTGAGCCTGCGACTTTTGTCGCAGAAAGCTAGACATAGGGATAGTGATCCTGCGGCGGTGTTAGCTAACTTCTTAAAAGCTTTGTATTTTAGAAGGTGGAAGACCTGGATGCTTCATACTTAGTATATACTGTAAAAACATTTATTTTCGTGGGGTTAAAATTTCGTGGTTTTGTCTCTATATAAAATTTCATGGGGATTTAATTTCGTGGTTTCCATTAAATGGAAGTGATATCATATGTAGGTTAAATTTTCGTGGGGGTTTTAATTTGTGGATATATTCTTGCCACGAAATAAACGAAATTAAATCCTCCACGAAAATTTCTGCTTTTACAGTAGATGCCTTATGTTACGAAGTTTCCATCTGTCACATGTCCATTGTCCATGACCTCATTTTCATGGTTCAGTGACTACTTGAAAAAAAAGTTAAGATTTTTTGTAATGTTAATTTCTCTCTTATAATGAATAATAGGATAACTATATTTGGTATGTGCATACCTTGCAAGGTCCTCATGCCCGTCAGACAGTTTTCACTTAACCTCGACCTCATTTCATGGATCAGTGAACAAGGTTAAGTTTTGGTGGTCAGGTCCATATCTCAGATACTAGAAGAATAGGTCTAGCATATTCTGTGTATGGAAGGACTGTAAGGTGTACATGTCCAACTGACAGGTGTCATCTAACCTTGACATCATTTTCATGGTTCAGTGGTTATAGTTAAGTTTTTGTGTTTTGGTCTGTTTTTCTTATACTGTTTGCAATAGGTCTTCTATATTTGGTGTATGGGATGATTGTAAGGTGTACATGTCTAGCTGGCAGGTGTCTTCTGACCTTGACCTCATTTTCATGGTTCAGTGGTCAATGTTAAATTTTTGAGTTTTGGTCTTTTTTTCTAATACTATATGCAATAGGTCAACTATATTTGGTGTATGGAAATATTTTATGATGTACATGTCAGTCTGGTCGGTTTTATTTGACCTTGACCTCATTTTCATGGTTCATAGCTCAGTGTTAAGTTTTTGTGTTTTGGTTTGTTTTTCTATTACTACAAGCATTAGGTCAACTATATTTTTTGTATGGAAAGTTTGCAAGCTGTACATGTCTGCCTGACATGGTTCATCTGACCTTGACCTCATTTTCATGGTTCATTAGTCAATGTTTAGTTTTCTTGGTTAAGTCTGTATCTTAGAAACTATAAGCAATAGGTCAACTATATTTAGTGTATTGAATGATTGTAAGGTGTACATGTATTTCTTGTTTGGTTTATATGACCTTGACCTCATTTTCTTGGATCATGTTAAGTTTATGTGATAGTTGTAGTAAAGCTTTATATTTAGAACTATCAACATAATATCAATGATTAGTAAAGAAGGCGAGCGAGACATTTCAGCGTCCGCCAGTGTGCACTCTTGTTAAGCTATAGTCTGTTTCATATTTGTATTGTGTTTTACCTTAGAAACAAGGGTGGGTTCGACTTTTAACTTACTGTGGAGAGAATATGTCATTTTCTGAACTTCTGCTGATTTGTTTGAAAAAAGCACATACACGTCTAGAGTTTGGATATACAAATTGATTTTTAAACATGACAATCTCGATCCAAGTGCTGTTATCGAAATTACCAAATTCAGTGAAAATGTACAGAAATGATCCCCTTCGAACATTGAAATGTTCACTCGAATGGCAGACTATGAAAATTAGAATAGGCATGACATTTTGTAGTTAACGAATAGTTTTCGATGTTTAAACACAAATATTTTCATATTTTGAAATGTTATAGTCTGTTTCAAAAATGTACTTTTATAGGAAAATGGTTTAATCTAAAACTGTTGTTCAAAATTCACCATAGTAGTTACATATTGGATCGGTTTTGGTATCAATATAATCAGTACTTGATGACATACAAAGAATCATTGGAGAAAGTGGACATTATCTTCAGGCCCTTTTAAGCAGTACCGCATTTACTCAAAAAATCAGAATTTTTTTTTTCACATTTTTTGACTGGGGTCACCTCTGATAAAAAATTGTGAAAATTCAGAGAGTAATGCCAGAACGTTTTGAAGATGATCTTTGTGTGGCATATATATTTGTGCATCTAACGAACTATGAATTGCATGATTCTAGAAAGTATTAAATACCGTATATGTTAAAATCAACCATTAGATTTTATGGGCGCATCCATTTTATGAGCATAACATGGTATTCAGAATTAAGAGTATAGCTAATCCTGATTGGTTGATATGTGCGCCCGTTATATTTATTTTTATTAGAGACTTCCTGCATTCTGCATTATACCAAAGGCCTAATAAATTATTTTCCTTAGCCCTAACGGAACTGAGATGTCTTTTAAATGGTAGGATGAGACACATATTTTTAAGTGCAAAATTGATAGGCATGGGAGATTAGTAAAAATTACGCTAAGAAAAGCAACGCGAACCTATATTTTTTGGACCAAAAAATACTGTCCTAATAACTTTTCTTTAATTCTAGAAAGGTTTCGTTAAAAAAATCAACTTTCTAAAGTCTGTATCTCGAAAAAGGCTATCATTGTCGCCTATGGGGAAATTAATTGTTTATTTTAATCTACAAGACTATCTACCAGTCTACCAGTTGACTGTGTAGTGCTGAGACAAAATTTATCTCTGACTCATATTTTAATTTGGCAATTTCTATTTGAGAATTATTATATTTTTGAGACTTTTACAGTTTGATTTTGAAATTAAGTTCATTTTATGATTTAGTAGTTTTGGCATTTATTTTATATTTTCCATTGTAAAGAGAATTAGTTTTACTTTGGATTGGATATTTAGATTTGATACTTTGTACTTTAATTAGATTATTATTATTTGGCATTGTTCACTAATTGATTGTTATCATCATTCATCTAAATTGTTATCGTTGATTAAATTATGAAAACCTTCCTTGCGTTTTAGCTATGCTTATCAGAACATTAAGTCTAGCGATAGACTGACCCCCTGTCCCTTGGTTCCCTTATCTAACAGTGCTCTGGACCTTGGTGACAGTTCACTGAATATGGGAATGTGCTAGTGGAAGCAGGGCATGGTATCCTATGGACACATATCTTGTTTACTGTTTTAAATGATGTTTAAGTGAACAATTTTAATTTCAGAAACAGAGATTCAATGATTCACAAAATAAATCAGATGTGAGAAAGCCAAAAAAGAAATTTCTTGGAGAGGAACTTGACAGTGATTCAGATATTCCAAGGTATGTCAAGAATTTGTGAAACTTACCTGTAAATTGAACTAAGGACAGTATATTAGAACTACAATATGTGCAATTTAAATGGAGCCAAGATATGTTATGACTATGCTTAAGAGGTGCAAGGTATATGAGGGCTATTGTAACTTAGATACATGTAGGACCAAGGTATGATAAGAATGTGTGCAACTTTGGTTGGACCAGGGTTTAGCATGGCTTTTAATTGTAGCATACTTAAAGGTAGAACAAGTATTTGTTAGAACTGTCTGTTATTTGTATGGGGTCATTTAATCTCTGGTGGAGTGCTTTCTCATTGGCAATCATACCACGTCTTATTTTTATACAAGTATGCCAAGAATGAAACTTTGAATCATTCCATGGCAGCCAATAGATGTCCATTTCATGTAAAAAATGACTATACATGTAATGAAAATACATAGTTATACATCTTGACTTCGAGGGCAAAGGGATACTGATACATGAACATTGCTTGGCTATAGCTTGCTCCAGTCTACAGGTCAATGAACCTCACTCAACACACCACTACTAAAATGCTATCCTTCACTGGAAACAGTTCTATCAACCGCAATCAAGCTAAAAATCAAACATTTTGCTAATTTTTCCATATTTTAGATTGTATTCATGGTATTGGGATCTGCAAGAAACCAAAAATAACTGTTCCATAGTTGTAAAGTCATAATTAACACATATGATAGAAATATTTTTGTAAGATTAGATCCTTTTTCATAATATTTACCTTTGTCTTGAATGTGCCACATAGGAAAATGTAGACCGCACATCCGAATATGTCAGAAATGTTCTATATTTAAAACCACATTGGTGGTTTTTCTCATTAAGAATGTTTGATGTCATGGTTTAGATCTCTAGCTGGTATATTTATATGGGCTGTTTTTTCATGTATTTACCCTTCCGATCAATACTCATAAAGTAGTCAATACTGATCATTTGAAATTTTCATGGTTATCTTCACTATTAATTCTAGTAAAACAATGGTTGATTGGGGGATATTATTTAAACGTCTTGTCCTTTTGCATGGTTAATAATATTGACATGTTTTATAAAATATTGAAACATAGAAGAGCATTATTGATAATAAGTACTAATTTATTCCTTAGGAGTTATCGTCATTACGATATTGCATACTTTAGATATAAAATAATATGACAATATAAACTATTTCAACATGTTACAGCTCTTCTATAAAAGCATGCAAAGCAAACCTTTGATCAACTTGCTTGCTATGTTTGCTTGGATGTTTGCAAACAATAGGTAGGCAGTGTTTCAGTCTGTTTTGTATATACTGGAATTTGATTAGACAATAAAAATTGACATGCAATGGAGTATTTGTTTATTGTCCAATCAAATTCCAGTATATAGTAAACAGACTGAAACAGACTACCTACCTTTTGTTTACAAACATCCAAACAAACATAGCAAGCAAGTTGATCAAAGGTTTGCTTTGCATGCTTTTATAGAAGAGCTGTAAAATCAAGATATTTTTCTTGAAATGAATGATTTTGATAGGTAACAAAATAAGCCAAGACCTAGCTAACAAGATGTGCAGATTTAATTACTGAAACAACAGCCCTAAATAAATCTTTACATCAAGGAAAAAAAGAAATATGAATGAATACTGTAAATTTTGCAAGTAATGTGTTACTGGTAAAAATGTGAGATCTATTTGATGTGATTGCAATCATTTTGGGATGGAAAATAAATACTGAAATTTTGAATGGAAGTTTCCATTATTTCAAACCTGATACTGTTGCATTTTTTGCATTAGTAAAAACATCACAATAATTCCTAAATTTACAGTACCGGTACTTTATTCTCATGAACAAAATGTTAAAGAGAAAAGAATAAAAGACTGCTATAATATCAATAAATCATTTCCATCTATTTAACTGGGGAACAAAAATCTAAATGCAGGAAATTGAAAAGTTTGAAAGATTTAAGAGCTATTTTTCTAATGCTTGTAGTTTAAAGGTTTGGTTAGCTTGCTTGCTTTGTTTGTATAAATGTTTGCTCAAGCATTGTAATTAAGATTGACATCTGCAATCAATAAATAGGTGGAGCTTCAGCTTGTATACATTATACTCTGCATTATATTTAACATCCAATAACATTTAAGTACTAAGTTACTTCCATATAAACTTACTTTCACTTTCTCTTTCAATTGCTATTTATAACGTTACTCACCATAGCAACATTGTCATGATTGTGACATTTTAATTTTCTCAACCCGATTTTGTACATCAGCATGATTTTATGTATTGTTTTCTATCCTGATGACGGTGGCCTAGCCACCGAAAGATGTCGATCTTAATTAATTACTGGAGCATTCCTTAAAGTGTTGTTGTTATAGGAACTTTTACATTTTACGTTTTTATCGTAACGACCCTGCATACCCAAGGTATCCACTTTATGGAATCTACTGACAGGAGATTTACCAGGCATTGGTTCACTTGTGTTTAATTTAAGTATAATGTATACAAGCTGAAGCCCCACCTATCTATTGATTGCAGATGTCAATCTTAGTTACAATGCTTGAGCAAACATTTATACAAACAAAGCAAGCAAGCCAACCAAACCTTTAAACTACAAGCATTAGGACAATAGCTCTAATCTTATGGCTTCAAACCAAAAAATACATAATGAGTCAAAAATTTTACTCTCATGTTATAGTCAATTTTTGTCGAGCCTGCGACCTTTGTCACAGAAAGCTCGACATAGGGATAGTGATCCGGCAGCGGCTACGGCGGCGTTAGCTAACTTCTTAAAAGTTTATATTTTAGAAGGTGGAAGACCTGGATACTTCATACTTTGTATATAGATGCCTTATGTTACGAAGTTTCCGTCTGTCACATGTCCATTGTCCTTGACGTCATTTTCATGGTTCAGTGACTACTTGAAAAAAAAGATTTTTTGTAATGTTAATTTCTCTCTTATTATGAGTAATAGGATAACTATATTTGGTATGTGCGTACCTATCAAGGTCCTCATGCCAGTCAGACAGTTTTCACTTGACCTTGACCTCATTTCATGGATCAGTGAACAAGGTTAAGTTTTGGTAGTCAAGTCCATATCTCAGATACTATAAGCAATAGGTCTAGTATATTTGGTGTATGGAAGGATTGTAAGGTGTACATGTCCAACTGGCAGGTGTCATCTGACCTTGACATCATTTTCATGGTTCAGTGGTTATAGTTAAGTTTTTGTGTTTTGGTCCGTTTTTCTTATACTTTATGCAATAGGTCTACTATATTTGGTGTATGAAATGATTGTAAGGTGTACATGTCCAACTGGCAGGTGTCATCTGACTTTGACCTCATTTTCATGGTTCAGTGGTCAAAGTTAAGTTTTTGAGTTTTGGTCTTTTTTCTTATACTATATGCAATAAGTCAACTATATTTGGTGTATGGAAATATTCTATGATGTACATGTCAGTCTCGCAGGTTTTATTTGACCTTGACCTCATTTTCACAGTTCATTGCTCAGTGTTAAGTTTATGTGTTTCAGTCTGTTTTTCTTAAACTATAAGCAATAGGTCAGCTATATTTGTTGTATTGAAGGATTGTAAGCTGTTCATGTCTGCCTGGCATGCTTCATCTGACCTTCACCTCATTTTCACGATTCATTGGTCAATGTTTAGTTTTCTTGGTTAAGTGTGTTTCTTGGAAACTATAAGCAATAGGTTAACTATATTTAGTGTATTGAATGATTGTAAGGTGTACATGTATTTCTCGTTTGGTTTATATGACCTTGACTTCATTTTCTTGGATCATGTTAAGTTAATGTAATAGTTGTAAAGCTTTCATTTAGGACTATCAACATAATATCAATGGTTAGTAAAGAAGGCGAGACATTTCAGCGTGTGCACTCTTGTTAACTTTTACTGTATGATGAATGATTTTGTAGTATATACGTATTGAATAGTATTTACCAGTATTGCCCATCGGCCTGGTCAATACAAGTATTGACATAGTTTCTGCTGAATTCAGACTCAGTATTTTTATGCCCCCGCTGAATTCAGACTCAGTATTTTTATGCCCCCGCTGTGGCGGAGGGGGCATTAAGTTTTACCTTTGTCCGACTGTACGTCAGTCCGTACGTCCCGAAAATGGTTTCCATTCTCTAACTTTAGTTTGCCTCAACCAAATGTAATGAAAATTATACACAATGCTAATTATTACAAAACATAGATCAAGTTTGAATTTGGGATGGGTCACTTTTACCTTTCTAGAGTTATGCCCCTTTACAAATGGAAAAATTGCTGAATTTTTAGTTTCCGTTCTCTAACTTAAGTTTTCCTCTACAAAATGTTATGAATCTCATACACAATGCTTATAACCACAAAACACAGTTCAAGTTTGAATTTTGGTGGCGTCACTTTTACCATTCTAGAGTTATGCCCCTTTACAAATGGAAAATTCCGTTCTCTAACTTAAGTTTGCCTCAACCAAATGTTATGAAACTTATACACAATACTTATTACCACAAAACTCAGATCAAGTACGAATTTGGGTATCATCACTTTTACTGTTCTTGAGTTAAATGTCCTGTATAAAGTTATATGCAAGCAGGGGCATCATATGTATCCCATGGACACATTCCCCATTTATTTTATAAGTGACTAACTTACTTGATGAAGTACTCTCAACAAGACTCCTGTGTTTCAAATTATTTGTATCGGGGTTAAATTCTATATTGCAAATGACATTTAATAGAATAAATCCATGATTACCACACAATTTTTTGGCTGCCATTTCAGTGATAATGAAGGAAAAAAGACGTATTCATCTTCAGAAGAGGAAGAAGAGACAGCACAAGAGAAAAAACTGAGATTAGCCAAACAGTACTTGTCTCAGATACAAGCTGAAGGTATAGTAATAATGATATCGTATATTTAAAGAGGGTATTCTCTTATCTTACTGGAGGCCCTCACAAAGGAAGTACAAAATGACATAAGTTAAAGTGAAAAATACAAAATGATATATATAGCACATACAAATAAACAAACAAACAAGTAGTATATTTATAAGATTTTCACACAAGGTGTTATGTTAACAATGAAAACTTAACATTGACAAATGAAAACATGAAAATTAGGTCAAGGTCAGATTATACCTGCCAAGACATAGATATACACTTCACAATCATTGCATACACCAAATATAAAACTATTGCTTATAGTATTTGAGAAACAGACAAAACCGCAAAAAAATTAACATTGACCTCTTCACTATCTATTATGGTTAAGTCTGTTTATCAAATAATTATATGCAATATTTCAGCCATATTTGGTGTATTAAATGATTGCAAAGTGTATAACTACTAGAAGTCGGATTTTATAGCTCATTGATCAATGTTAAGTTTTCATACTAAAGTTTCTCAGATACTAGAAGCAATAAGCCAACTTTATTCTGTGTACAAAACAATTTGAGGCAGCCAGGCTTTGACCATGCATTGTTCAAGGAGTCCAACATCAGCAGACTTACATTTGCTTTATACTCTTTTAGAAAGCAATAACACTCGGATAAGAGACTTCTTTTGTTTTTAAAACTAAATGTTGACTTGGCAGCAGTAAAGCTCTGAAAATAGAAATAAAATATGTAAAATCTGTGTATTTTTGTCAATCATCTTTGAGTTTAAGCAGTTATTTCCACGTTTGTTTGTCATTGCTTGAGATTTATGTAAGATAAGGGTATAAATGATATTTTTATAATTTTGGAAGATTTGGGATGCATAATAAGATTTCTCACCTGCAGACATGGCTGCAAAAAAGCTGGTACATGATGTTCTGTTTAAAATAGTTGACCTGTCAGAAACAGGTAAATCTCAGCTGTCAGACAACTGATTAAGTTTGATTGTAATGAGGGGGTATTTAATTATGGCTTGTTTTTAGAGTAATTACTCCACATATCACAAGGCCAGACTTAACAAACACAGAATTCATCTGGCCGTGACCTCCTTCTCATGGGTCATTGGTCAATGTTAAGTTTTCATGGTTAGTTCTGTTTCTCAAGTACTATAAGCACAACATTATTAATAGTTTATATAGTCTATATTTTATATATCAAAGTTGTATATTTTATATATCAAAGTTGATCTAGGATATCTGGTTAGGTGTTACAACCAGTCATTTTTTTTAGATAACCATATTATTTTCAAAATGAACAAATAAACACAGCATTTATGATAACATACATCAGAATATAACTAACTTTTAAAAGTGGTTAAATAATTTATGATACGGATTTCCCTTTACAATTTATATTTAACTTACAATTTCCTTTTCCTTGCCAAACATTAAAAAAAGTAAGACTAAACATTGTAAACTCTTATAATCATATTTATGAGAGAATTCTTAATATAAAGAAATAAATAAAATCTCTGACCTAAGGAATTTCAGTTGGGAAAAGTGTTTTTACTTCTTTTCATGTAATGGGTAAAAATTGGTTCAATTAGTCAAAAAAAAACATATGCTTGTTTCCTACCTTCTGACTGACCCTAAGTTTGATTGCAGACCCTAAATTATTTGATTGCCTTTCCAAAAAGTTATTTAGAAATAAGCGTTGAGAGCCTTCTTATTTGACTATGAATCCAATTTCCGCAAGAATTATTTACTCAATTTGTAATAAGATCAACGCAAATCGAGAAGAGAACTTTTACAACCATTGAAAATTATAAACATTTCATCACACATGCACAAATTACCAGATGCATAAGTGTAAAACGGGACTAAACTCAAAGGAAACATGAAATTTAATAAAATCCCGTCCAACCCTATTTTATAATGGTTGAAGGTAGGAAACAGTCATGTATTTTTTTTTGGCCTCAGCTGTGTATCAGAGTTTACCTGTTCACTTCACCATCATACCGTTTTCTCTGTTCTTTCATTTTCTTAAAATCTTCATTTGCTGAAATCAGTTGACTACTTTACAGATAAAGCAAACAGTACTAAACTTCTGTAACATATTCAACACAATTTTACCTCAAGTCTTGTGAACTCAAAATTGTTTTGATACATGTATTTATTTCCTTTGTTATAATAAAACATATATTATACATGAATATGGAAAATCTTAATATATATTTTTTTATGCAAAATTATTACACCAGGGTTTTCGATATCACAAACTAGTCAAAACATTTACTTAATTTTATCATCGGTACAAGGACATCATTTGTAAATATAAATCAACATGCAGACATCTTATGCGTTCAGGTATTTCACATCCAATCTTTTATGGTAAAATTCTATACAAAGCACAAAAATGTTGACATTCACCTCAAAAGCTAACCAAACCTTTAAACAGACTTATTCAGAAGGGATATAGTTATGATACTGTTGTCTGGTCGTAAAAGATGGAATATTTTGGTATTAATATTGATTCACTAATAGGGTCTTTGCATCGGAAATAAACACATTTATTCTAAAACCAGTTGTTGGCATGATACAGGTTATGTTCTCATATATTTTACGACAGTATGATACTAAACCCCTAACGGGAGGGATTGTTCTTGATTTTCATATGATGAAGACATAATCTTTCAATCAGTTTAGTTGAGGTCTGGAGCTGGCATTTCAGTAACTGCTAGTAGTCCTTTGTTAATTTATGTATCATTGTCATTTTGCTTAGTTTCTTTTGTTACCTATTCTGACATCGGATTTGGATTTCTTTTAAACTGAGTTTTACTGTGCGTATTGCTGTGTGTTTGTTTATTCTACATTGGCGCGAGATATAGGGGGACGGTTTAGATCTCACAAAACATGTTTAACCAGCCCCATTTTTGCGCCTGTCCCAAGTCAGGAGCCTCTGGCCTTTGTTAGTCTTGTATGTTTTTTAATTTTAGTTCATTTAGTGTGACGTCCATTTTCATTGAACTAGTACACATTTTTGTTAAGGGGCCAGCTGAAGCCCGCCTCTGGGTGCGGGATTTTCTCGCTGTATTCAAGACCCATTGGTGGCCTTCAGCTGTTTTCTGCTCTTTGGTCGGGTTGTTGTCTCTTTGACACATTCCACATTTCCATTCTCAATTTTATTACCTATTATCATGATTATAGCTTATCCTTATTATGTATTCATCAGGCATGTTGTTAATGTTTCGATGCAAACCTCAGGTAAAAAAGTCTTAGTGTATGAACATGTTTTTATGCCCCACCTACATTACGTTTTCTGGTCTGTGTGTCCTTTACTTTGTCCGTTCATTCGTTTTTCGTCCGTCTGTTCGTCCGTCTGTCCTGTGTAAAGTTTTTGGTCAAGGTAGTTTATGATGAAGTTATAGTTGCATCCACTTGTAACTTTGCATACATAGTCATTATGATTGGGACTTTCTAAAAAGTATGGCAAATTTGGGTTTTGGTCCAAATTTTACAGTTCATTGAACATGAAAATGGGATTGTGTGAATCAGCTTTTTTTGATTATGTTGAAGTCCAATCAACTTGAAACTTAGTACACATGTTCCCTTTGATATGATCTCTCTAATTTTAATGCCAAATTCATGAAATTAGAGTTTTGACCCCAATTCCACAGTCCACTGAACATAGAAAATGATAGTACGAGCGGGGCATCCATGTACTATGGACACAGTTCTTGTTCTGATATAGAAAAATGAAGATAATTTAAGTAATGACAAAAGACATGCTACAGTCATGTTCCCATACATTGTATTTTGATGTTTTGGGTAATTATACCTCAAGCACCAAAGTTGCATAGGGTATAATGTTTTTGACCTGTCCATCTGTCAGTCCTGTTCTTGTCATCGCAACTCCTCTGAAACCACACAACAGAATTTTATGAAACTTTGTAGATAATAAGGATATACTATGTAGATGTGCATATCGAGAGGAAATTATGATTAAATTTTTTTTCCAGGAGTTATGCCCTTTGAACTAAGTATTTTGGCCTAAATGTACTACTACAACAGTTTGTCATAACAACTCCTCTGAAACCACACTATTGAATTTCATGGAACTTTGTATTTAATGAGGATATGATATGTAGATGTGCATATCAACAAGAAACTTTTATCAGTTTACTTTTGTAGGAGTTATGAGTCTTTGAACTTAGGAATCTGGGGAGATTTTGTTTGCCAAGTGACAATGGGTTGCATGGGCTATGTGAGCGTACTCACAAAGGTTCTTTAATTGAACATGTTTGGCATTACAGACATTGTATAGGGAAAAGGATGTGTTTGAAAGTCTAATATAGAACTAAGATGACAGAATACAGAATACAGACAATGTGTTTACAGTTAATAGATATATATATATATATATATATAAGCTTCTATATGCAGTAAGAGTTTATTTTTTCACCAAGTTATATGTTTTCTTATTGTAGAAGCTGAAAATCTTGAAGATGAAGAAATTCACAGAGATATAGTATCACACAGATTAAAACAGGATATAGTATGTATATCTACAGCTGTCAAAAAACATAAAGTTTTCAAATACAATCAACTTTTTTATGAAAACTCAGTATTTATAGTTAGACTGTGTTATTTTTTAGTATCATTTATTTTTCTACATTTTGTATGGTATATTTAGTTCAATTGTCTCCCTTTAATCACGATTTGAGTCTTTATCAAAATTATTTGTAAGCCATTTTTCCTCAGATAGCAATGTAATCAATGGAATACCTAGTCAATTCAATCCATATTACAGGGATACAAAACTGTTTTCGTTATTAATTTAACTGAAATAAACATAAAATAGAAAATACCTGATAAGGCTACTGAAAAGCCATCACTTTTATAAAAACTGTTTATAAATATTACTGTACTATATTTACATTTCAATGAATATTTTATTTTTATTCTGTAGCTAGAACAAACAGGACGATTACATAAACAGGTTGCTGATGATGTAAGTAGCTGGTTATTATATGTTGACTTTTTGTTTTTACATTTTGTTTTATAGGATAATAGAGTTTCCAATTATGTTATTTTTCTATAATATATCCCTTAGGAAGAATTAGATTTTCCCCATTAATTGATTTGATTCCTTTGAAAAAAAATTGTTGAAAAATTAATAAAATTATGACTGTGTTACTAAAGTAACAGGTGCTTCAGAAAAAACATGGTACTTTTGTTCTGGAAACACAGATGTTAATCATACTTTGTCATCTTAAATGTAGATTTGAGTATAAGAAATAAATATATACATATATATATATATAGTTAAAATTTCAGCTGGTACATATTGTGTATACATGTACTTTCTACTTTGTTCCTTTGTACTACTTTCTGTCCTTGTATGCAAGGTTGACAACTGTATAAAAATATGGTCATCTGACTTCTTTTGGTTAGAAATAAAACTCATGCTGGAGTATCTGTTTGACTAGTCTATGCAATATGTATAAATACACAGTGATGTTCTGCCAGAATGGGAAGGTTATATTGAATACCTCATTAAAGAACCCTGGCATCAGCTCTATAAGTGGTGTATAGTTAGCCTGTAACAATCAAAATGTCTGCCCTTATTCAACATATGTTTTTTGTCGAGCCTGCGACTTTTGTCACAGAAAGCTCGACATAAGGATAGTGATCCGGCGGTGGCAGCGGTGTTAACTAACTTCTTAAAAGCTTAATATTTCAGAAAGTAAAAGACCTGGATGCTTCATACTTTGTATATAGATAAGTTTCCGGCTGTCATATGTCCATTGACCTTGACCTCATTTTCACGGTTCATTGCTCAATGTTAAGTTTTTGTGTTTTGGTCTGTTTTTCTAATACTGTATACAGTAGGTCAAACTATATTTGGTGTATGGAAATATTTTACGATGTACATGTCAGTCTAGCAGGTTTTATTTGACCTTGACCTCATTTTCACGGTTTATTGCTCAATGTTAAGTTTTTGTGTTTTGGTCTGTTTTTCTAATACTGTATGCAGTAGGTCAACTATATTTGGTGCATGGAAATATTTTACGATGTACATGTCAGTCTGGCAGGTTTTATTTGACCTTGACCTCATTTTCATGGTTCATTGCTCAATGTTAAGTTTTTGTGTTTTGGTCTGTTTTTCTAATACTGTATGTAAAAGGTCAACTATATTTAGTGTATGGAAATATTTTACGATGTACATGTCTGTCTGGCAGGTTTTATTTGTCCTTGACCTCAGGTTCATTCTTATGTTAAGTTTTTATATTGGTATGACGTTGGCGTCATAGTCGTCATCGTCATCCGAAGACAGATTGGTTTTCCGCACTCTAACTTTAGTTTAAGTGAATTGATCTCTATGAAATTTTACCATAAGGTTCAATACCACAAAAGGAAGGTTGGGATTGATTTTGGGGGTTATGGTACCAACAGTTAAGGGATTAGGGGCCAAAAAGGGGCCAAAAATAAGCATTTTTGTAACTTCCAGACATAACTTGTGTGTTAGTGTATGGATCTCTCTGACATTGTACCACAAGGTTCCATATCACAAAGGAAATGCTGGGATTGATTTTGGGGGTAATTTCCTCCAAGTTTTAGGAATTAGGGCCAAAAAGGGGCAAAAAACAAGCATTTTTCTAGTTTCATGACAATAACTTGTGTGTAAGTGTATGGATCTCTCTGACATTGTACCACAAGGTTCCATATCACAAAGGGAATGCTGGGATTGATTTTGGGGAAAATTGCCTCCAAATTTTAGGAATTAGGGGCCAAAAAGTGGCAAAAAACAAACATTTTTCTAGTTTCATGACAATAACTTGTGTGTAAGTGTATGGATCTTTATGAAATTGAACTACAAGGTTCCATATCACAAAGGGAAAGCTGGAATTGAGTTTGGGGGTAATTGCCCAAAACGTTTAGGAAGAAAGGGGCCAAAAATAAGCATTTTTCTAGTTTCCAGACAATAACTTGTGTTCAAGTGTATGGATCTCTCTCTGAAATTGTACTGCAAGGTACCATACCACAAAGGGAAGGCTGGGATTGAGTTTGGGGGTGATGAATCATAAGGGGGTTCAAAAAATTGGGGGGGGGGATTTTTTTTTCCTTTTTTTTCTTTAAAATTTTCCATTTTAAATTGGTTATTTCTGATTTATATATAAAAGCAAATAATAATGATATGGTTTGAATAGGTAAATTTTTTTTTTTTAAGTTCTTAGACCACATTCATTCTGTGTCAGAAACCTATGCTGTGTCAAATATTTAATTTCAATCCAAATTCAGTGCTGTATCAAGCTTGAATGTTGTGTCCATACTTGTCCTAACTGTTCAGGGTTTGACCTCTGCGGTCATATCAAGCTGCGCCCCAGCGGAGCATTTTATTGTGTTTTGGTCTGTTTTTCTTAAACTTTAAGCAATAGGTCAACAATATTTGGTGTATGGAATGATTGTAAGGTGTATATGTCTGTCTGGCAGGTATCATCTGACCTTCACCTCATTTTCATGGTTCATTGGTCAATGTTCACTTTTCCTAGTTAACTTTGTTTCTTAGATACTATAAGCAATAGGGCAACTATATTTGATGCATGGAATGATTTTAAGGTGTACATGTCTGTCTGGCAGGGTTCATCTGACCTTGACTTCATTTTCATGGTTCATTGGTCAATATAGAATTTCCATGGTTTGGTCTGTTTCTTTTATACTATAAGCAATAGGTCATCTATATTCTGTGTATGGAATGATTGTATTAAAGGTGTACATGTATTTCCGGCTTGGTTTATCTCACCTTGACCTCATTTTCTTGGATCATAAATGTTAATGTGATACTTGTAATAAAACTTTATATGTAGGACTATCAATATAAAATCAAACATGTCAAAGGTCAGTAAAGTAGGCGAGACATTTCAGCTTGTGCACTCTTGTTTTCTTAGTGGTCCATATTTCATCTGTTTTGACCACTTTTTCATCCGTTTTGACCACTTTTGCAGATCCAACTTTTTGTTTCCCGACCCCCACCAACTTTCAGTGATACACAATGAAATTCCTCATTTACACAGCGGCATGGGACATTTCGCTACAGCATAATAGTGTTGTTAGGTTTATATTTAAATTTTTCTCATCCATAATATGCATGAAATATTTGCCACTTGACCTTAAAGGAGACGTGACACGATTTTTAATTTTTTTTTTTTTTTATTAAATTGATAAATATTAGTCTTAAAACATATTTTGAACAATTTTGCTAGTCAAAACCTGATCAATCGGCATTTTTTAGGTCAAAGAATCCAGCGCTTGTCATAATAAATGATTTTTAATTAGATAACGATCACGTGATCGTGCTTACGTCAGTGGTTACAAGCTGGGAAAATGTCTCTTACTGTGGTAACAATCAGATCGGTATTGTCTGAAAGATCGTCGTTGTTGGACTTTTCGCATGAAGAATTAATATCCTTTTCTTGGTTATTTTCCACACACAATGGCTCAAATTGATGAGGTCAATTGTCTTTGTAGTTTGTCAGTAATCGGGAAAAGTGCTTTAAATACCGTCCATAGTGTATCGACTTTGTCATATAGGTTTGTCTGATGAATAAATTTAATAAACCGCTTTCCTCATTTTTTATTTATTCAAATAAAACTACTTTTAATCATGATTCAAAATATAAATTTTATTATTGATGATCAAATTGTTCTTTTTTCTCTCTGTTACGGTAATGTTATTATTATGTGTGCGCCCGAAGCAGAAAGAAAAGAAAAAAAACAATAGTAAAAGTAAAATTATGCGTTCGCAAAGGGTACGTTTTTTTGTTTTGTTTGGTTACAGTGAGACTTTTAAAAGGTATAAACTATCACCAAAAGTTATGCATATATTTTTTTTGGTTGGAAACCATACATCACGCCAAGGATTTGTATAGTGACAAATCCTTTATCACACTTTTTTTGCATTAGGATATTCACTTAACAATTTTATTACTTTCCCCCTTTTTATGTAAACAATTCAATTCAATATTTTATTTACTTCTTACCTTATGTATAAAATTAAACAATACAAAACATTTATTGGAGGCTGTTGTATTAGTAATTAAATTTTGACACCTATAGCATACTTGACCAAGTGAAAGGTAAGAAGGCACCTGTAGTGTGATTTAGTCGCGTGTTATGTTATTTACCTTGAACTACTGTAGTCTTATGTTGAAATAATTAATATAGTTATATTACACTTCTAAAGTATGCAATTCCATCCAAACTCTTATAAATCTAACTTCAAATTTAAGGAATTACACAAAGTAAATTCAAATTCACACATTTCCACCCTTCTCTTCCAAATATCATTTAGCAATCAATTTGTTTATTACTACCAGCAAAATGCTTGAGTCCAGGAAAATATTCACAACTTAATATTTCTTCAAAAAGGGGTCATTTGAATATATGTTAAATTTTCAATTGTACTGAGCATGAAAATGTTCACATGTTACATACTTCAGTCTTCGAATACATGAATTATGTATTATTTGTATTTGGCTTTGATCTAGCTTACATTATTTGTGCGTTATCTCTATTGTTTTTACGTTAGTGGTTTCTGTACTTCGTACCAATCTTTTGAGTTAGACTGGTTTTTATAGTTCTTATGTACTGCTGTAAGACGTTTGGAGGGGGGGGGGGGGGGTAGGCGCTCACAAACATATATCCCCCCACCGACACATTGTGAATGTGCCTGTCTCAAATCAGGAGCATGTATATCAGTGGTTCATGTCTGTCAAATTTTTTCTGCAGAAATTATTTTGTTATTAATATGTTAGTTTTATCGCCAAAATTGTTTCACATTTTCATGTTGAGAACTTTTATAGCCGAATATACGGTATGAAGTTATAGACTTGCAAGCATACAGGAATATTACTTTTCCATCTCAAGAAGTCAATTAAAAAAATGCATCTGTTATAAACCTTTTTATATCTGCATATTCTTAAAAGCAATAAAAATAAGATCTATATACAGGTTGTCTATAATTAGTTATCAACGCTGGTTAGGGTATTTAATTGGTGGTGCATAGGGTATTGTATAGTCGTACTACATGCAGGTATTCATTAAACATCAGGTAGTTGTACCTGTATTACTGTAACAATAATATATTCCAATCTCACCTGTGCCCTTGGCAAAACCAACATCCAGGATGTACACAAAGAGCTTATGAAGTAATATTGCATAATAACTATATCTTATCAATCCCCCACGTGGCGTGACACCTGAAGCTTGCAACTTCAAACGAGACCTGAAATTGCGAAACTCAATCACCTGTACCGTTCACCTGTGACCTATGATGAACTCATGGCATGGCACCCGAGACCCCAACTCTGGATTCCTTATGAAAGTGGGCGGAAAGAAATGTTTTGGGCTTGTTAATAAATCCTATCTTTACACCTTCTAAGTTCGTGTGTCATTCGAAAAACAGAAAATATCATGTCAATATTCTTTTTAATTATATTGTTGAATCCATCGGCATCACACATACTTATTTTTTATCACTGTCATGCGTTTTGTTGGATAATAATCGAAACTAAATTTGCGCTGTACCCATATGTTAATATGAATGGAAGGAACAATTGACATAGTAGCCTCGTTCTGAGTGACTTCCGGGATGGAAATATGCATATTTGACAGGTCGATAAATCGTTGCATTAAAATCTCATTAAAATACATATTTTAACAAATATTTGACACTTATATTGCTATCGATGTATTTTTGGGGAAAGTTAAGTATAAATAAACATTTTGAAACACAAATTGAAAATCGTGTCATGTCTCCTTTAAGCAAATAAAAGTACATCAATCCTTGTATGCAGAAGAAAAAATGTAAAATGATTTATTTAAAACATTCATATTAAAAAAAGGAATGATATATGTAACCACACAGTATACATTTTTATGCCCCACCTACGATAGTAGGAGGGGCAATATGTTTTCTGGTCTTTGCGTCCGTTCGTTCGTTCATACGTCCATTCGTCCGTCCGTCCGTCCGTCTGTCCCGCTTCAGATTAAAGTTTTTGGTCAAGGTAGTTTTTGATGAGGTTGAAGTCCAATCAACTTGAAACTTAGTACATATGTTCCCTATGATATGATCTTTCTAATTTTAATGCCAATTTAGAGTTTTGACACCAATTTTACGGTCCACTGAACATAGAAAATGATAGTGCGAGTGGGGCATCCGTGTACTATGGACACATTCTTGTTTTCAGTAGAATAAAATTGATATCCATACAAAAAATGTTTATAATTTTTGTTTTAGTATATACCTCCAACAATTGATGACATCACAGTGTTACGAGGACATCAACTTTCAGTGACATGCATCATTATTTCCTCAGATAGTAAACATATTTACAGTGGTTCTAAGGACTGTACAATAATAAAATGTAAGTTAGGATGGTGTAACAGTGTTAAAAAAACATTGTCAATCAGTAATTTGCATCTTTGTTTTCTGAGACACATCTGTAGATCTCTTAAGACTGCTTAAAGTAGACCATAATTGTAAGAATTAAACATTATCATTACTTGTTTCAAGATTTAAAAAGTAAAAATACATGTATTAACTTCAGAATTAAAAGCTTTTTTTTTATTCGAATTGTGAGGTAAAAATATCACATCTTTAGATTTATTATAATTATTATTAGAGTTTTGTAAAGATTATATTTGTATTATTATTGATTTGTAGCTGTAACTCTGATTTAATCAATAAAAAAGGCTTTGTTTTCATTTTCAAATTTCTTGTAAATTGATTTATATTTTAAGGGGATACCCAGACATGTCGTAAAGTTTATACAGTATATGGAGGTAAAAAAAATGGAGGTGAAGGTCATTCAGCACATGTCATGTCATTGGCAATATCATCAGATGGAAAATATTTGGTAGGATGTATTTTACTTCATATAGGCACAAAAAAATGTTAGTTAAATGATAAAAGACAGTTTTGATTTGATAGAATGTAAACATGTACATTTATCAATTTGAAGGACACATTTGCAACTATTGCCAATCCACTTGGAACATAAATATTTTTTTTATAGAAATTTGTAAATAGAAAATTACACACTACCCGAATTGGCATTTTTATCTTTAAAAGAAATGAAGATATGGAAACTTATTTTGACATTTATACTTTTTAAAAGAATTTTCTTTGTGCTGAAAAATCCAATGCCTTGAAAATGTAAAAATTTATGAAATATGTTACATGCCATGAAACAAATTGTCTTGAGTCAGACTTGATTTTCTCGTTTGAACTGTCGCATTTTTTTAAAGACCTTTTATAGCTTACTATATGGTATGAGTTTTGCACTGTTGAAGGCCTAACAGTGACCTTTAGTTGCTGACTTACATGTCATTTTGTCTCTGATGGATAGCTTACTATACAGTATGAGTTTTGCACTGTTGAAGGCCTTACAGTGACCTTTAGTTGCTGACTTCCATGTCCTTTTAACACTGAGGTTGTGAGTTCGAAGCCCCGCTCGTGCGGGTGCACTCGACTCCAATCTTAATTGACTAGGATTGTCAGTTTTCCTATCGAAGGTCAGTGGTTTTCTCCGGGGACTCCGGCTTCCCCCACCAATAAAAACTGGCCGCCACGAAATAGCCCAAAAGCGGTGCTTAAAAGTGGCATTAAAACATCAAAAATCAAAAATCAAACCATGTCCTTTTGTCTCTGATGGATAGTTTTCTCAATGAGTTGCATTAATTTTTCATAAGGAAAACACTTTTTTTAACTTCAAATTTATTTGTTTCTAGAAATTTAGAATCGAACAATATGTTTAATACAAGCAGTTTGAAAGTAGATGCATGGTTCATAATTTGATGGAATTATCAAAGTTGCCAACTCACCCCAATAGGAGGGTCATAACCCCAAAAATGACTAAGAATAGAAACTAACAATCACTTACCTTTTAAATTATATTTAAGTCTCCCAAACGAAGTTTGGGAAGACTTATTGTTTTTGCACAGTTCTTATTATTATTATTATTCTTCTTCTTCTTCTTCTTCTTCTTCTTCTTCTTCTTCTTCTTCTTCTTCCTCTTCCGCCGCTTTTAAATTTGAACTTGTCCGCACCCGTTCTCCAAAACCGCTTGTCAGATTAACTTAGGGTTTCACAATATGTTAGACTAACATGTCTAGTGGTGCAATCAGGGTTTTGTTTGTGCAATGGGGTTTATAAAGGGGTACTTTGAGGGGCAAAAAGAAAAGAGGGTTTTACTATAGAACCCTATGGGATTTTATTTTTAAAAATTTTCAAATGATTATAAATTGAAAACCGTTTGTGATAGACACAATCTTTTTAATTGAAAATGTTCTGAATGATAAAGCCCATTAAATGAAATACAGGGTTAGTCCCCAGGGGTCACCCCCACCCCCTGCCATTTAAGAAAGTTCTAATATCTTGTAAATGGTCGAGATCCCCACCCCTAAACCATATATATTCTGGTTTGTCATGATAAAGCACATCAAATGAAATACAGGGTTAGTCCCCAGGGGTCACCCCCAACCCCTGCCAATTAAGAAAGTTCTAATATCTTGTTAGTGGTCAAGATCCCCACCCCTAAACCATATATATTCTGGTTTGTCATGCTAAGATGGTTTGAATGATATACAGGGTTAGTCCCCAGGGGTCATCCCGATCCCCTACCATTTGAGAAAGTTCTAATATCTTGCAAATGGTCGAGATCCCCACCCCTAAACCATATATATTCTGGTTTGTCATGATAAAGCACATCAAATGAAATACAGGGTTAGTCCCCAGGGTCACCCCCACCCCCTGCCATTTAAGAAAGTTCTAATATCGTGTAAGTGGTCAAGATCCCCACCCCTAAACCATATATAGTCTGGTTTTTCATGCTAAGATGGTTTGAATGATATACAGGGTTAGTCCCCAGGGGTCATCCCGACCCCCTGCCATTTGAGAAAGTTCTAATATCTTGTAAATGGTCGAGATCCTCACCCCTAAACCATATATATTCTGGTTTGTCATGATAAAGCACATCAAATGAAATACAGGGTTAGTCCTCAGGGGTCACCCCCACCCCCTGCCATTTAAGAAAGTTCTATATCTTGTAAGTGGTCAAGATCCCCACCCCTAAACCATATATATTCTGGTTTGTCATGCGAAGATGGTTTGAATGATATACATGGTTAGTCCCCAAGGGTCATCCCGACCCCCTGCCATTTGAGAAAGTTCTAATATCTTGTAAATGGTTGAGATCCCCACCCCTAAACCATATATATTCCTATTTGTCATGTCTCGAACATTTGAATGACGTATACGGTCAGTCCCCAGGGGTTCCCCCCACCCCCAATGTTCTAATATCTTGTAAATGGTTGAGATCCCCACCTCTAAACCATATATATTCCTGTTCGTCATGTAACAAACATTTGAATGACGTATAGGGTCGGTCCCCAGGGGTTCCCCCCACCCCCAATGTTCTAGTATCTTGTAAATAGTCGAGATCCCCACCCCTAAACCATATATATTCTGGTTTGTCATGCCAAGATGATCTGAATGATATACAAGGTTAGTCCCCAGGCATCACTAATGCATATAACTTTACTTGACCAAACCAATTTTCACTGGACGTTGCCCAATGTCAGGCAATCCTGGGAATTACGAATTATGGGAGCTTCGTTTGGGAGACTTCGTAACAGCATCCTGTTACAATCATTTCTTGTTTATATTTCTTTATGCTTCAAGTGATGCCAATAAAGATATATACAGGTTAGCAACAATATCATTATCTTATATTAACAACTATACATAAATAAGGAGATGTGGTACATGTATACGTATGATTGCCAATGAGACAACTATCCATCAGAATCCAAACGATGTGGATGTAATCGACTCAAGGATGTACATTTAGACCTAAATTTTTTTTTTTTTTTTTCAGGCCTCAGGTGATGCCAATAAAGAAATCCATATACGAAACCCAGATACAATGGAAAAAATAAAAGTATTTAGAGGTCATAGAAACACAGTATCTGTAAGTTATAGTGGTAGAAAAAAATATACATGTATAATATATATATGTAACCCTCTCTAATGGTCATTCCTCCCCAATGTGTCCACCTTGCTGAAATACGTCCATTTTGCTCAAAAGTCAGCTTTAAATTACATATCATCAGAACCTGTCAAATTCAGTCCCCTCAAACATGTTCATTTATTTTCCTCCCTTAAACGTGTCCAAATTATTTCTCTTCCTAAAGCAACACAACTTTAAGCGCTAAACTGACCTCTGTGTTGTCCTCTGATAATAAGTTTTTATACCGCTACATACACTACATCATCGTCTATACAGTATACTGTGGATTAATTCATTTTTTGTGGGTATTAATTTTCGTGGATTGATGAAAAAATAAAATTTTATGGATATTTGATTTCATGGATTTGCAATAGTCTGCATACAAGCCTATAGATAATTTTACTTGGTTGAATATCTAAATGCATGGTTTACCTTTATCCACGAAATCCGCTTAAACTGGTATCTAACGAATAATAATGATTCAAAAGTATTCTATTTAAAGGGAAACTCCGCAAAAAAATGAAAAATTGATATTTTGTTCTTTAAGCATAATAAATCACATGGTCATAAATAAAAAAGTTATATTCTCTTCGTAAAGATATCAAAATCAATTTTTGAAATTGACTATCAGTTTTGACATGCCGCCATTTTGTCAGCATCCCCGATCTAAAAACTCACGAGATATCTATTAACCACAAAGTACCAAAAGAATCGGAGATTTACCGACCGTGCGTTAAAAAGTCCCATCATCAATCGGAGACTGTAGTCGTCATTCTGTGTCAAAATGTCTTGTCATATATAGGATAATTCCATATTTAGACAAGATAATTTTTTAATTAATAAAATTATACATCGGATGAATAATATTTTTTTTATTATGATAATTAACAGCTAATGACAAGGAGCAGTGTTAGGAAGAGGTTTAAGCTAGGACATAACATGTTGATATAATATAATATTCCCAGGTTATAGATATGTAAATGTCGGAATATCGGACATCTCAACTTTTATCATATATGGTGTGTTTTATTAAGTTTTTTTTTTTACTAAGCTTTATATGATAACAAATTGATACGGGATCAGTTCAGAACGGTCACTTATAAAGATGCTTTACAGGTTTTAATTCTGTTTAACGTGTGACCCTATCTGGTATGTTCGATGTAAAATTAATAGGTTTTTTTTCTTTTAAAATTGTATTTACGTTATCTTTTTATAAATGTTTTGGCTTCCTCCCGAATTGATAATCGGCATGTCAGACTAAATGAATTATTGATTGAGGTTGTGTCAAAGCGACACATTCAGGTAGGTATTCCATGGCCAGTGACATCCTGTCGACTAAAAATTTGTATTACACAATTACATAATACAGGTCCATGCATGGCCTCTCTATTGAGGTACCCGGCATTGTGTTATTGAACCATAAAACTATCAGCTGTAATATTCATCATGTGCACAATTTATATATTTGTGTCTGAAAAGGCATAATGAAGGTTGTTACACAAAATCACACATCGTGTACCTAATTGGTGTTCACGTGCACTACACTTGATGCGTTAAGTTTCTGCATAGCAAAATAATTATGTATCTCATTTGTTATATCGTAGTTTCACTGTGTTTCTTTGTTAAATTTATTTAGTTTGTTAATGATTGTGTAAATAAGAATAAATCTGTATGAAAACTTCAAACTTGTTTAGTTATTGCCTAGGAGTTTGATTAGTGTTACATTAAGGTAGCACTACAGTCAGAATTTTCTGACTCCAACCAACAGTCTTTAAAGATTGATTTCTCCAAAACTACTCAATGGATTTTTAAAATCTTTAACTCATTTTAAAGCTGAAATATTACTCTTTCTTAATCCATAGATAAATCTATTTTAGGTATGATAAATCTCAAAATATAGCTCATTAATTGCCAAAAAAGTGGTCTTCCAACTTGGATGGAAATGGCACATTCAGGTCAAATGGTAGTAAAAATTTGTTTTCATCCCTTTAATCAACCATATACAATCTGCAAAACCCGTGTCTCAGATTTTTGATATATGCTTCCAGTAAGAAGATATATTGATTTAACTGCTGGGTGCCAAACCTCATTTCACCTTTCATCTTTGGAGACCTATAAATTTATTTAGAAACAAATTATCCAAAAACTGGGACACGGTATTGTAGAAAATACTCCCTTTAATCACATATATCAAAGTCAAGCCAAAGGGGGTACCCATAAAGTTTATATTTTCATTTTTTCCTAACAAATCTCATGAAAAATTGTTCTGAGAAATGACCTAAAAATGGAATTTCCCCCTTAGAACCCCTATAAATGCAACATAAATACAAAAATTCCACTGGAAACACCCCTGGAGTGTTCTGACACCATTACTTTATCAATAGAACCACACACTTTGTCTCTTTGATAATCTAATGCTGTAAATTTTGCATTATGTGTGGCACTGTGCAACACTAACTTGGCATTTGGCGGGAGTTTGACGTCACAGATTTGACCAATATCTGTGATGTAGTAATTAAATATAGACAAAGCTCCGCCTCTGTCCAGACAGTCTAAGATAAGAGAATAACAGGATTGACCAGCTGCATATAATCAATATTTAACATCATTATTCTCACTATAAAGAATAATTTTCATTTGATTTTAGAAAGAAATATACTATTACTGAAATTAGCTAGAACATTAAAATTGTGCATCAAAAGACATGTTCATAAAAAGATCCAAGACCATCCACTTCTTTAAAAAAAGACACTCCCACATGATTTTTGAATTTTATGGAATTGAAAAACTTAAAATTGGTTAAAATGCCTAAAACTGTATTTAAATGTAGAAGACCAAATAGAAGAAATTTATACAGGCAGTCAGAGGCTTTCAAAGATACTTTCACACTTTTTTCCATATTTTTTTCCATTTTTTGTAGATTTCTTCCCTTTACATTTTTTCCTTTTCATATCTTTTTCTTTTTCTCTGTTTATAAACATGTTATATAAATTACTTTTGTTGCAATACAATGAGATAAGACCACAATATTTATCTTGTGGTCAGGGATTAACAGCTGGACACTGGTATCAACAGATGATTGACATATTAGCCCCTCCCAAATGCCTATATATTTAGATTAATTACCATGTGCTTTTATTTACATAAGTTCATTATCAATTTACTCCCTGTTGTGATATGATAATGACTTTGGGATTTTTACAAACTGTGCAGAATAATACTTAATTCAAAATTAGGTGATAAAAAAAATATCTTCAAAAAATCAGTTAGACTGTAGTGCTACCTTAAAGATATATATATATATAGAACCTTTCATACTTCTTAAAGTAAAAGATGTGTGTCGGAGTCAAATGACATGAGAACCCTGTAATACTTGTACGAGTATAGCATGTAAAAATTCCTACCCAATATGGTTGTATTGGAAAAAAAATCATGACGCTCATATTTCTTTATACCAGTCTCATCTGATTCATCAAATATTGCTGTTAACAAATATTAGGAGTTATATACAATCGAAGCTTCTCTGTGGTATACACCTGTGAAATATATATATATACGAACTTCGGTATTGAATCTACATCTCACAAACATTATTTTTGAATTACGATTGTGAGTGAACTTCCACCAAACCAATAAAAACGTATGGCAAGATATAACCATGCAAGCATTTAGTTTTCGTCAGGCACAAGATAAATAATCACTCTCATAAACGTACATGCATGCTGTTAATAATATCAAGAATTAGAGTTTGATGTCTGTAGATCATAGTTACTCCGGGAACAGTATATATATATATAAAGTAAACTTATACATACTAGGAAAGGCTTGTTTCAAGAACAAGGTTGAGACGAAAATCGTCAATATTAGAAATACGTTACTACTATTACTAGTTTGGATTAATGACGGCTACCTTGTAAAGCATTGCACTAAATTATCATAGAATATAAAAATGGTTATATTTAATTTTCATGTTTTCAAACTTAAAGACATTTATAACACCTCATAAAAAAAGGATTATAAGAAAACGAATAAGCGAGTAAAAGTTCATTTGTTGGGAAATTAGTCTCCTTTGATCTCGAATTAACTTGTAAAAAATCATCATACAAAATAAATAAATAATTTATTAGCTTAGATTTATAATGAATATGAATCCATTAATGAAATAAATGATAATTGTCATTCTTTTCACAAATAATTCGTCTAAGATTTAAATGCAAGTTAAAGAATTCCGGTTAAGTAAATTAAATAGATGTGCAATGGTATCTCTCTATTAAATTGGGAAAATATAACATTATTTTTTTAAGATTAAAAGTACTATTCTTTTAACTTCATATTTGAATCTTTATGCGAATTGCATAGAACGTAATCAAAAATTGTTTCATTTTAATTTTATACACTTCCGGAATTATAAAGTTGAATGTTATTTTCAAATAATTTATACAATTTTATGATTGTATCTCTATTGTCATCGGGTATTCGATCTTGGTGTATTAAACACGCCATACTCTTTCTGTTAATCCATTCAAAATGACAACATTCACACCTGTGTACGGCTTGAGGCAACTCATTAGTGTCATCTGTTTACCTATCACTGATAGTTTTCACACCTTTAGTGAATACAACTCTTTGTCTCTTAATTGGGGTTATCAATGGATTATATTGGCTTGTCAATCAATTTTGTAATTTTTGTTTACCTGAGACACTATAATGAATAATATTTTGATTTTGGGAATGAATCTTAAAATTATTTTTTGATTATTATATGATTTATAAGCATTGAATTGATATCATGATATCACAATAATGACACAATAACTCCGCTGAAAACATCCTTTCACATATTTGGTACATTGTTATCTCCTTTTCATTTTTGGTTCTTGGCTCTTCTTTTGGGTTTATAGGAAAACCATGTGACCATGAAAATCAATACACAAACCGGAAACAGTAGAATTTCAACACGAATTTGCAGAAAATGTTTACCAAAGAACAAATAAAACACAAAGACAGTATTGAAGTCATTTATTTTCAACAAAAACTTTTTATTTATTGATTTATGTAGGTTTGGCAATCAAAAACGTAGTTTTGACCAGGAAATTCACTCCTGACCACTTTTCTCAAGCTTGGATTTTTCCTCTGGTCGCTAGATCTCGTCTATAAGTCGGCCCCCCTCTCTGGATTATGAATTTTACTCCCAATTTTCCGACTAATAAGCGAGTAGGAACGGTAAATTACTGCAAGGTAAAGTTCAAACGAATTGTCCTCAAATCGAGAAATAGACAATGACTTTACAAAATAATATACACTCTCTATTCACACAGATTCTGCTTTGAAATGGTTGCCGAAATTATTAAGGAAAATAAAAGCGGAAAATATTTTCAGTTCAACATCAGTAAAAATGTTCAATAGATATTTTATGCAAAAATCTCAACAATAATTTATGAAATTAATTCGGAAATAATTATATATTTCATATAGGAAGTTTTATTCAATCAATGCAAAATGGTACATGTGTGTTCATTTTTTTTCATTCTTATATTGTGGTTATTAGCTACGAGAAATGGTTATTTGTGCGCTTTTAATTACGTAAATTATCGATAAGCAATTAAGACTTTAACAGATTTAATTTTTCCCAGCATTCAATAAATCGGGTTAAAACGTCACAACCCACTAACGTATGTCAACCAAAAAAGTTACAAATACTCGATTTTCTCCGTTATTAGAAGGAATACAAATTTAAAACTTTGTTGTTTGTGTTTTTTATGTTAAGATGAACATATTTAGATGATAAGTAAAAAATCACAGATTTTCCCTTTAATAACAGTTGAATTGTTACTTCGAAATTATTCCTGATAATAGATTTTTCAACCATGGAATAACTGAATACTCCAAATGTGCCTCAATGTATCCAGTAGAACAATTTGGTTACAGGGGCTAGCTTTTAGAAAAAGAACACATAAGTTATTCCTTTCCTCTGTTTTTTGTTACAGGGGCTAGCTTTTAGAAAAGGAAAACATCATTTATTAATTTTGCCTTTTTTTGTTACAGGGGCTAGCTTTTAGAAAAGGAACACATCAGTTATTCTTTTTGCCTTTTTTTATACGACCGCAAAAAAATGTTTGTTTTTTTTTCTTTTTTTTCTTTAAAATTTTCCGTTTTAAATTGGTTATTTCTGATTTATATATAAAAGCAAATAATAATGATATGGTTTGAATAGGTAAATTAAAATTTTTTAAGTTCTTAGACCACTTTCATTCTGTGTGGGAAACCTATGCTGTGTCAAATATTTAATTACAATCCAAATTCAGTGCTGTATCAAGCTTGAATGTTGTGTCCATACTTGCCCCAACTGTTCAGGGTTCGACCTCTGCGGTCGTATCAAGCTGCGCCCCAGCGGAGCATTTTATTGTTACAGGGGCTAGCTTTTAGAAAAGGAACACATCAGGTATTCTTTTACCCTTTTTTTTTGTTACAGGGGCTAGCTTTTAGAAAAGGATCACATCAGTTGTTCAGTGCATCACATGACCGTGCTGTAAAGATATGGAACTTGGATGAGATGACATATGTAGAAACATTGTATGTAATTATTTAAATTACTTTTGATTTTGATCTATTTGAAACAGATTTATTTTATTTTATTTTTTTATGTGACTTTTTAAACACCTACTGTTTGTCATTTGGTCTCTGGTGGAGAGTTGTCTCATGGTCAATTATACCACATCTTATTTTTATAAATGTTATTAATCAGGATGATTTTTATTGCTGATCTTTGAAAAATGATATTGTCACAGTAGTTATAAGTTTATAAGTTGAAAATTGAAAATGCCCAATAAATAATACGCTAAACATGCTAAAGAATATCTTCATTTCTTCAGATATGGACATGAAGATGCTATAACATCTATAGATAGTCTAACAAGGGAGCGAGCGATTACAGCAGGGGGCAGGGATGCAAGTATTAGAATCTGGAAAATTATTGAAGAATCACAACTAGTCTTTCATGGTCACATGTAAGCTTATTTCTATGTTTGAGTTGAAGAATGAGCATTTTAAGTGGAGGGTAGTGGGATTTTAATGTTTGTATCTGGAAATTGGTGTAGAATCATTACTTGTCATACATAGACATGTGCAAGATAAAGGGCATGGGAGTGCGGTAGGAGATGGATTGATTAATTGATTGCTGGTGCTTAACACCACTTTCAGCACACTTGGCTGTATCATGTCCAAGGCTTCCAAAACGGTCATATATTCCTGACATTTGTATAATGTCCGGTAAAAGTCCGGCTGGGCAAAACACGAAACGGTCATCTACTTTTTAGATTTCAAGGCTTTCTTAAGAGACGGTCATTTTAACATAATTCGCGATCTTTTTTACCCAACCTTTTGCCTTTAACAGCCACACATTTCCGGTCATAAAAGTGACATGATCATTAAGTACTATCAAAACAACCCCTACTTTAATACCTTCTCATTTTAATCAAGGCTAATTAGTTGTCGAACAGCTGAAATTTACCTGTTCAGGTGACCGGTAAACTATTTTGAACCGGACATTGATCGGTCTGTTCAAAGTTATTTTCTTACATTTCAACGGTTTGCATCTAATTAATTTAGTCAAAAAGATTTAAATTATCAGAAATACATTTACAAATAAGATTTCGATGAAAAAATTAAAGAGGTGAAAATGAAAAATCGTCATAACCACGTTGTTTGAACCAGAGACATGGCTCTGTTTGAACTAGTACACGTGTGCGCATGTGCATGTGCGCAGGTATGAAATTTAATTATGAATCCTAATTTCTTCAAAAAATGCTTAAATTGTCATTGATACCTTTATCCCACGTTTATTTCGAATATTTTCTTGAAGAAATAACGTAGAATGAGCTACTTATACTCATTCATGCTTTGCAAACGTACACAGAATTTACGTATCCGTCTCTGGTCCATGTTTTACCATTGTCAAGATAACATCCGGTTTCAGATTTAATAACGAAAGTAAAGTTTTTGACAACGTTATTTTGCACAAATAAAGAGTCTAAGGCAGATATAAGTACATTGATGTTGCACACTTCGGATGATGCACTGCCGATTTAATAGTTTACGTCAGAACTTCGAATTTGAATCAAAGAAAGTTTAATATCGTTTTTTTTTAAATATCAATCATTGGGATGGCCAACTCGGCAACTGATTACCATAATTGCCTTTTGTTTATTTAGTCTTAAGGGATTTAAATCGGGATAATATATAAAATGTCCGGCTGGCTAAAAATAATTTTGGAAGCCCTTATCATGTCTGTCAGTTTTTATTCTTCAGCAGGAAAACTGGCAATCCTAGTCGATAAATATCGCAGTCGGACCCACCTTGCCACAAGCAAGGTTCCAACTCATAACCTCAGTGTTCACACTCAGTTTTCACTTAGTATGAACTAAATAGACCACTGATGTCCCACATTATATGGACTTAATGATAGAATATTGAAAATTAGTTAAGAATGAAGGTAAAATTTGTTTGGCTTAAGTTTATTTCATTCCCTGTTTACAAAAGTATGGAAATTGTCCATCATTCAGTATGCAAATCTTTTTATCCATGTTTATCTGCATTTGTTCGTCCACATTTACTATCTATATTTAGTTCTACACCTCATGGATTTCAATGAAAAGTTTAAAAACAATTACTAAAAGCACAAAAAAACTAGACGTGGGTAATTAGAGCTTGACTTATTGCATAGACTCTATTTGGTCCTTATGTTGTTTATTTTAGGGGGGTTGCTGCCTCATTTGATTATGCCCTGGTCACTGTGGTTAAAGTGATATTTCCTGCTTCTCTGCAGCAGCATTTTGGAGTGAGAATAAAGACTGGTTGACTTGAAGCACAAATATGTGTCCATGTAAGGTGATATGTTTCTCAGAACTGTATCCTTGAGAGTTAGCCTGTTAAAAATCTGAATCTCTAGAGTGTGGCTTAGAACAAAACAGGACATATCCATTTATGAATTCTGATGGAGTTTGTAATTCTAGCCGCTGGATATTTAGTGGCCATCAGTCAGTCAAAAATTGACTTAGTAAGGATGATTTATTATTTATAAAATCTTAAAACATTTATACTTAAATATACTAGAAACTGATTTCTTTGAGATGTTGAAATTTTTATTTTTGATTTTTATAGGGGTTCCATAGACTGTGTTTCCTTGATCAACGAGACAAATTTTGTATCAGGAGGAGATGATAAGTAAGAATAATTGTTTTAATTTGTTTGATTATATTCTATATGAAATATACGTATTTTTTTATGGGGATGTATAATACAGTCTAAACAAGAATGTGTCCATAGTACACGGATGCCCCCACTCGCACTATCATTTTCTATGTTCAGTGGACCTTGAAATTGGGGTCAAAACTCTAATTTGACATTAAAATTAGAAAGATCATATCATAGGGAACATGTGTAGTAAGTTTCAAGTTGATTGGACTTCAACCTCATCAAAAACTACCTTGACCAAAAACTTTAACCTAAAGCGGGACAGACGGACGAAGGGACACACAGACCGAAAAACATAATGCCCCTCTACTATCGTAGGTGGGGCATAAAAAATGGATTTATTAAGTCCTGAAGTTCCTTATAGGTATACCAAAGGTATATATCAACCGGCAACAGTTTACATTAACTTTCAAGAAATATTTGTGCTGTTATCAACACAATTTTGTATGTTATTGCTTAATTTAAGGGAAACAAATTTCTTTTCTTGAATTACTTTTAGACCTCTAGGTTGATTGTCTGTTTAATTATCAATTTTAGGTTTTTTCTCAGTATATATAAATGTTACTGGTCAACAATTTATTTTGTATGAATTGGTTGCAGTAGTATATGTGCATCTGACAAATGTCATATGGCCAGGACCTCAATTTCTTGCTACAGTGGTCAGGTTAACTCATTCGCCCCCAAGAGATTTCTGGAAAATCAGGCATTTTCGAAAATTTGCAATCATATGCAAATTATATGCAAATTAGCAGACTCTTGATGCTGTAACTGATGCTCATCTATTAAACTATGTATTGAGATTTGGGGGTGGATGGCATGTGTGGGGGGTGGGGTGGGAGGTTGAATATTTTCTCGTGGGTTTGAACCCACCCCCACTGAAAAATGTTAATTTTCCGTCTATTTTCCGATTTTAAAACGACCTTGAGAGGTGAACATTGACCAGACTGTTTTTCTTTGTCATTCAAGTATTACCCTTTAGTTACAGCAGTTCATTCATGCTAACTGGGAGTATATTGGACTTAAGTGTCTTGCTGGGGAATTATTATTGTCAAGTCAGGTCTGCCTAAATGTCCGTTTTTACGGATTTTTGACAAAACGGTGACCTAGATTCTACAGACTAGATTCCTATTGGCCATATTATACCTCGTTGTGTTCCCTTACCACCTATGCATGCATTTATGATAATAGTTTTTACCTACAGTCACTACCAGTTACGTAGTGGCCATCAAAAGATGCTCACCCCCACCTGATTTTGGCTACTTTTCACGTTTTTTCGATTTTGAACTCTTAAACGGCTTTCAAAGTGCCATATTTTCATGAACAGACATCTGAGAAGAGTTTATGGACCATGAACTGCTTGGTTGAAGTCCCTGCTATCATGACAGTTCAGCTGGGGCAGTTCAAAAAAGGTATGGAGGGTCATACGGGCCATCAAAGAATGGTTGTCGCCATCACGCCTACAGGCGGGATTGGGGGCTAAAGGGTTAAGGCTAGGCATACAAAAAAGTATTGAAAAAAAAAAATGTGACTCGAGTCTTCTGTTCACATATATAACAATTGACAATGAATTTTATAGATCATCAAATTCAATTAGACTCAATAACAATTCAAGTACATGAAAACACACACATATCCTCAGTTATTGTTTAAAATAAATAAATACAAGATCTTTATACGAGAAATGTCTTTTCTCGAAACTTTCAAGTTTGAATAGTTCTGACATTGTTATTACTTTACTAGTTCCATAGCATTATGGGGAGTTATGAAGAAGAAGCCAATGGTTTTAGTCAGAAATGCTCATTCTGGGGACAGTGAGGAAAATTCTGAATACTGGATATCAGCAGTGGCATCTTTACAACATACAGATTTAATAGCTTCAGGTTAATATAGATTCTAGTTAAATATTATTTTTACCGGTATAAGGCAATTAATTTCATAGATGCTTATAATTACAGACAAACTAGAGGCATTGAGATGGGTATCAAAAACATGTACCTTTATATTCCAGAATGAGTTAATTAATTAAGGTCGTATTTCATTATGCCAAACTGAGTATATTCTTGTTTAAATAGAGGAAACACTGTTACTTCAAATCTTCTTTTTCAGAAAAACATTACACAGTAACTTTGCAATTGATTGGTATTTATGTAAAGGCAATGTCAATATCCGAACCTTATTACATGTTTATTTGTAAAAATCAAGGGAAGAGAATCTGCCAAGATCTAGAAACATCAAATATCCAAAGAACACATCTATACCATTGCACTAACTGTGTCCATGCATATTTTTATTTCAATGGTTTTAGAAAAATTAAGTTTCTGAACTGCTTTACCTTGTTTGTTTGTTTTTCTTATTTTCAAATTGATTACCTCTGTGAGTTACATGTGTTGTTAGTCCATAATAGATAAAGGTATCAATTGTGTAATAATGATTATACAGTATTAAAGTGCTTGACCTAGATATATATTCCCCCTCCATTAGCTGCAGTTGTAGGGCAACCTTTAGTGGGTCCATCCCCTGCTGATACAGTTTAATATAATTTTGTGCTGAAAATAGTCTTAATATATTATACATTTAATGCTGTGGATATGAAAGGGATTTTCTCATAACTAATCTGTGGGCTGGTTAGATACAGATACTTATATTTGTTTATTTCAAAAACCAGTCACCTTGCCAGTTAAGACTAAGAAGAGATACCCCAAAATTAAGTTTAAGATGAAAAATTTCCAATCTTGTATGTAGCTTCCCTTTTTTCACATCAATTCTAGTTACAAGAATACATAGCCTTGTGTGAACTTACTATAGGGAAATCCCAGAAAATGTAAAGTTAATGGTAGTCACAAATCATTGAGAGTTGTCATAACCCATTCACTCATACAGAAGGAATAGAAGAAAGGGAGATGGGGATGATCTAAAGTACAAACTGATCCCTGTCACTTTGTAGCCCTCTTTTCTCTAACAAGGGTTCATAAATTAGAACAATTTGATTAAATGCTGAAAGGAACAGGTCATTTAATCCAAAATGAATTATATTAAGGGAGCTACCATTTGATTTTTATCGGGGGGCTAGGATGAAATTTGAAAAAAATAGGCAGGACAGGCGATTTGAGTAAAAAAAAAGGCAGGATGAGACACTTGCAAAAAAAAAAAGTCAGGATGACAATTTAGGTAAAAAAAAGTCAGGATAAACTTTAAAAAAAAGGCAGGACCGAACAGAGTGAAAAATAAAAATGCAGGACATAGATTACAACTAAAAAAAATGCAGGACAAAATTTGTCATCCTAGCCCCCCCATAAAAATCAAATGGTAGCTCCCTAATATTCATATTTCCTTTTTCTTGCAAGGTTCAAAAGATGGAATGATAAGATTTTGGAAGTGTGGTGATGATTTTAAATCATTAAAACCCATCTTTAGTTTGCCTGTGGTAAGTACATTATAAAGACTTTCAGTCAGTCATAAGGGGACAATTTTACTATATTTATGTGTCAGAGATTTTTAGCGGAAAATGTGACAATACACAGATATTTACCTTATTCCTTGGACAACATACAAATAATACAAATTTTTGAAATGAAAGGAACCTAGAAATAGTATGGTTTTTATAATAAAATGAAACATGGATACTGTGGATTCATTATTATTCGTTAGAAACCAATTTTCGTGGATTTCGTGGGTACAGGTGAACCACGAATTTAAATGTTCGATGAATTGCAAAATTTTTATAGGTGTGTATGCAGACTTTGGCAAAACCATGAAAAAACAGGCATTCCTCAATCCATGAAAATTGGTACCCTTAAAACAAATGAATCCACAGTATCTCAAGTATGTTTCTAATAGAAGTGAAATGAAATGTTTGTCACAGAAGTACACATGCTACAATGTATATCAACAGACATTTAGTAAAATAATTAATCCTTAGTAGCTGTATGTCTAACAATCCTTTGTCATACTGTAAACAGGGAAATTTTCGCAGCAGTTTTATTTTCGCTATTTTCGCGGTAAGAGTGGAAACGCGAAAATAAAACAACCGTGAATATTTCAAGGAAATCCGAACACAAACATGAAGACCATACATGAACATATGTCAATAGGATATATAGATGGCTAATTAACAACATCGGTTTTACAGACGACAGATCTATACCACAAAAAATAACTGTATTTCTAAAGGAAAGTCAGTGTTAGATATCAAAACTTTATCTCATGATAGTCCTAATTAATCCAAGTGGACATTATGGATATTGCTAAATAAACAAATATCGTTACAGTTATGTAAATGACACCTGTCAATCAGTTTTAAAATGATTACCCATTGTATCTGCTGCACAGATCAATCAGATTAAAATATTAACTAATAAGCAGTAATTCTGTCAGCATTTAATTCACTCTTAATAAGGTAATTCCTCTTTGTTTATTGTTTATTGTGATTGTGTTTTTACGAGCAAACATGACTTATAGTTTTAAATGTGAACCGACAAAAAGGAATTTTGATTGGTTTTATCACTTGATTTAAATACATGTATTAACACTGTACAGTTTCCAAATCATTTATGAAAAAAACTTGCATAGGACACCGACCAGGACATCGCAAATTCAAAACGGCGCGAATCTAGATTCTGTTGGTAAATGGTGAAAAAAAGACAGCGCGAAAATTTCCCAGTTTACAGTATGTCATTGTTGTAATCTGTGTTATATAGTATTGTATGGCAATGTTTAATTCTAGCCATAGTCCACACCTTTTTATGTTGAATCGAGTGCTAAATTTTTTAATCTATCTTTCAAATATCCAAGATAGGACTGAAAAAAATTGCCTTTGAAGTTTGAAATAGTGTTTAAAAACACATGCATTTTTATTTGACTGCTCAGTTTCAAGTTAAATGTTAAGAATTTAACACAGTGATAATTTAATTGTTTTTATGATAAAACTTACATTATAGTATATAATAATATGATTGTTGGTTTTTTTTTACTTTACAGACCGGAATTGTGAATTCACTACAGTTTTCTAAAGATGGAAGTTTTTTAGTTGCCGGTGTTGGACAAGAACATAAAATGGGCAGATGGTGGAGAATTAAAGAGGCTAGAAATAGCATTTGTATAATAAAACTGTCAAAGGCTAATGAACCATAATAAAATATATTCATATGAATTTATTTTTGTTTTAAATAGATATAGTTGAAATGTAGCAATATGGTATTATAAATGTTGCAAAAAAAATAGTTGCCACTTTGTGAGTGATATGAATTTTCTACTTTCACATTCACAGATATGCTCAATGTTTTAATCTTAAATAAGTTGTTTCAGATTACATACAAGTTTCATTCTATTTGACCTACTTTTGATCTTATTAAATCCCTAGAAGTCAAGAAAACTTTGTAACAATTACTGTTTTCTGCACCATTTATTGCCTTTCTAACAGTTATAAAGCTGATACTTTGTATATTATTATGTGATGAGTAGTTGCATATTGCATATGAGTTTGAATCCAGCATTATTAGGGTGTTACAGTAGGCATTGATTAAGCAGTTGCTTTCCTCTCAATGAAATACAATACTGTTGTGTAGTGAATAAGACTACAGAAAGAACAGAGCAGAGATGGCACAGAGAAGATGTGTATGTGACTGCATTGGAAAGATAGTGTTGGGATATAAAAGTTAATTTATTGAGATAATACTGGACAAAACAAAGGTGGGATACAGGGAAGGTGTGATATAAAGAAGATTTTACTTAATCCATGTTGCATCAGGAAAATGGATATATACAAAAGTAAGTGGTAATGAGACGAGACAAAGTTGGGATGTAGGAATAGATATAAGTAAGAGTATACAGAGACAATAAAGAGTTATGATATTCAGATGCTAGTTTTAAAACCATGTTAGATCAGACAAAAAGATAAATATAGCGGTAAGTAATAATGAGATTGTACAAAGACAAAACAAAGGTATATGGTAGTAGATCTTTTTAAGAGTATACAGGCACAAGACAAAAAAATGATTGTGTTTAACATCTAGTGGCAAATATTACATGCATATCGGGACAAGAACATGTTAATGTGATAAACATGAACCCTGCTTTGTACAAGACATGCTCTGAACAGGATTTTTAACATGCTAGTGCATAAGGTAACAGTTCATAGAAAAACATGTCACCTTACCAAGATGCATTATTTTGAGACTTGGTAAGCTGGTAATCAGTCTGTTCTTAGTTTTAAAGATGCATGCTTATTGGAAAAGCAGCAACGACCAATTTTCAAGTCTTGCTGACTCGGCAGGAGATACACTCATGACCTCCCGCATTTTAGGTAAGCACACGATCACCAAGGCAATGAGCTAAGAAAGACGAGAAGGTTGTTATACACCTTTATATATATATATATAGGTACACACAGTTGAGGTAGATGACAATTAGACTAAACAGGGACAGGACAAGGAATGGATTTTGATAGGATTAAACAAGTACAAGATGATAGATTGTAACAAGACTATACAGGGACAAGTCAAAGGGATAAAGGGATGTATGCTATTAAGACAATAAATGGACATGGTAGAATTGACAGATGGTAATGAGACTACAGGGACAAGTCATAGGGATGTATGCTATTAAGACAATAAATGGACATGGTAGAGTTGACAGATGGTAATGATACGACAGGGACAAGTTAAAGGGATGTATGCTATTAAGACAATAAATGGACATGGTAGAGTTGACAGATGGTAATGATACGACAGGGACAAGTTAAAGGGATGTATGCTATTAAGACAATAAATGGACATGGTAGAATTGACGGATGGTAATGAGACTACAGGGACAAGTCATAGGGATGTATGCTATTAAGACAATAAATGGACATGGTAGAGTTGACAGATGGTAATGATACGACAGGGACAAGTTAAAGGGATGTATGCTATTAAGACAATAAATGGACATGGTAGAATTGACAGATGGTAATGAGACTACAGGGACAAGTCAAAGGGGTGTATGCTATTGAGACAATACATGGACAAGGTAGAATTGATAAGATGGTAATATGACGAAATGGCAGTACAAAGGGATACATTTGGACGAGATAAACAGGGTCAAGACCGATGGAGTAAAAAGATAGATACTACTGACACCATATAATGGTATAATGTTTGGATAAGGATAAATTTTTGTTTGTTAAGACTATACAGGAACAAGACTAAAGTAGGACAGATAGCAGATAGCGAGATGATGTTCAGGAACAAACCAGATGGGATCAGGGATGTTAAGGGGATCACAATCATGTGGAGCATAGAGATAGAATTTTATTGAGACTACAGAGACCAGACAAATATAGGATGCAGAAGATGGAATCAATGGTAACTACTTTTACATAGAGAAAAGATCGGATTGATGGTAGACTAAGAATATAGGGACAGGACTAAGGTGGGCTATATATAAATGAAGACCAGAAGGGGTTCAGGTAAGTGGAGACTACAGGGACAAGATGAGTTGGCGGACGATGTTATTATAGTCAGTGTACAGGGACAAGGCAAATATGTAATGTAGTGGTATACATGAAAGTAACCTGGATGGACAACACAAAGAGCTAGATGTAAATCAGACTACAGGAACAAGTCACAGGGGAACTTTATCGATAGATGTTACAAAAGTATACAGGGACCTGAAAAAAGATGGGACATACATGAGGGATTCAGTGAGGGGCAATATGAGACCACTTAAAGAGTTGTTAAACGGCACTTTTCCTACTATACATCATATTATATATACCCAGCTCAATTCTGTACCTCTCAGACAGAGAAACTGAACCTATTTGTATACCCATGTACTCACGGGGAACATGTTTTGAAGTCCACATACTGCCTCTTAATATCCTCCCATTAACTAATTATCCATTTATGAGTTCGCACCTACCGCGGCAAAGGAGTCTCTAGGATCCATCCCTGATGAATAGGTTAATGTGACACTTCGGAGAAACAAGAAAGAGGTACTTGGATTCTTGGAATGAGGATATAATGAGAAATATTGAGATAAAGGAATCACACAAAGGTATGATCATGGGGGAACTATCACAAGCACTTGTCTCTGATAGGTAATTTTTTTTTCAGCGACAAGTTCCTGTGGGAACTATACATGTACAAACTCAGGTGATGTATAGGAGATGGGACATAATATACTATTCCCAGATAGGAGTAAATGTTAAGGTGACTACATAGGAATGGTACAACTTTAGGATATAAGGAAGATCCGAAAGCAGCTACGAACAAGGATTTATATAGTATAAATGTCTTACTAAATAAATCCTTGCTACGAATTAGACAAACATTTAAAATATAGAATAGAGAATGGAAACTGCCAAAGAGACAACGACACGACCATAGAGCAGAAAACAGTCCAATGCCACCAATGGGTCTTCAACGCAGTCAGAAAATCCCACACCCGGAGGCGGGCTTCAGCTGACCCTTAAACAATAATGCATACTAGTCGAAATGTACGCCACACTTAACTCCAATACATACAAATGAACCAAATTTAAAAAAAACACACAAGACTGACAAATGCTAGAAGTTCCTGACTTGGGGACAGGCGCAAAAATGCGGCTGGTAAACATGTTTTGCTAGATCTCAACCTTCCCCCCTGTACATGTACCTCTAGCCAATATTTTGTTTTTGTTTCAAACAATTATTAAAGCAGAATATAGAAATTATATTTAGCTATTAGCAGTTAGATATAAGAACCGTTAATCGGAACATGAATTTGACAGCTAATGCCCCTAAGTTCCAGAGGGTGTGTTTGTGTATTCGAATTGTTAAGTTCTTGCCGAAAATCAATAATGAAAACTTGTACAAATAGGTTTAACAAAATACATGTTCTCTGTATTTATTATAACGCAGACCTTACGTAGGCGATTACAACTTCTTAAAAAATGCTAATAACATATCAAATATGTTTCAAACTGTAAGAATACTTAAGATTTCATCAACAGGATGTTTAAAAACAATAAACGGAAAACATAGTTTTAATACAGCAAGAAATTTGATGTACTAAAGTATACAATGGTTTCCTGGTTATCGATTAATATTTTGCTCCATTAAACCCCAAGTATAGATATTTGTATTTTCCAAGTTTACGATGAAATACATCTGTACACGTACTTATTTACTTTTATATTCATTTTTAGGACACTATTATCAATTTGATAAAATTCCGGGCTTCTGAAAGTAAAGGCATTAACTTATCAGTATGTGTACCAGATTGAAGTTCGAAGTAAAGAGAGTAAAGCATTAGGTTTACTATTCGGTCTCCTTTTATCTGGACGGACGAGTCAATCCTAAAAGGAAAATATGGATTATCACCGATGACTATGACATTACAGCGGCAAAATCTTTGATCGATTTATTATACTCAACTCCTTATCTAGACGTCAACAAAGTTCCTTCGACAATTTATAAGTGTCTGCTCAATTTGTCAATTCCCGAATTAACTTTTAAAAAGACCATACCAAAGTCATAAATGACAAAAGAAATCAAATATAACAAAAGACTACCACTGACTAGATTGCTGACATTGGGACTTTGTCTTTTGATGGCTGGTGCTAACCTCTCCGCTTCTTGATGTCAACAAAATGTTGTAATTGACTCAAAGCTCTTGCAGAAAACGGACTGACACCTGAACCCCGTAATGTGAACAAGTTCACATAAACCAAGAATTGTCAAGTGATCCTCAGATAGGAACACCAAATTGTCAGCTGATTATTGTATACCCGTAGCGCCAACTGACTCCTGTAAACCACCTATTGTCAAATGATCCATGTTAGCCTGTATAGTGTAAACTGATCCTTAATAAAGCTGTATTTCAACTGATCCTTGAAGCCCCACATTGTCAACTGATCATTGTAAACACTGTAGGGTCAAATGATCCTTGTAAATCTCCGTTGTGTCAATTCGATATTGTAAACTGTGCATACCTTAGTGTCAACTTAATCTGATACACTCGGTGGTTTCAACTGACACCGTAATGTCGAATTATCCTTGTAAACCTCCCTCGTTTTACCCGAACTTTGTAAATCTCCGTAGTGTAAGCTGATCTTTGTAAACCAGTAATGTCAACTAATTTTGGTAAACCCTGTGGTGTCTTCTGATTCTTCTACACAATTTACATCTTCGA